GTACTGACCAGGCAGTCTGAGGCTACGGCTGCGCTGGCGTCGCCCTCCCTTGCAAGCGGAGCGAGGCAGCAGGAAAGGGGGCTACCGCTCTTATTCCGCAGGGTTTATTTTTAGTCGTTTTTATTTATTTGATGTTTTTTTTTTTAATGCTGCGCCCCACTCCGGCTGCGGTGCGCTGAGGGAAGTGGGCGGCGTTGGGGAGTTTGTGGAGGTGGTGGGTGGGCGTGATGGGAGGTCCCGCCGGGATGCGCACTGCGTGTTGCCGCTGGCGGGGTTTGAAGGGGCTGGGCGGGGGAGACGGTAAGCGGGGTGCCTATGAATTTGTTTAGTTGTTTGATTTCTGCGGGAGGCGTCCCACACTGCGGACTCTCCGTGCGGGTGCGTGCGGGTGTTTCTTCGGTCGGCGGCGAGTGTGTGATCATGCGGCCCACACGTTTGTCGGTGCGGCCTTCGTTTTTGGATTGTCGCTGTTATTTGCGGGGTGCCCAACTGTGGGCGAGGGCAGTGCCTATCGTTGTATTCTTTTTTTTTGGTTTAGCCTCACTTTTCTCTCTTCCTCAAACACACGAAGAAGAGAGACCAAACGCTACTTGCTGCCGTGCGCATTGAAAGGCTCTGCAGTCACCACCAGCAACACACAAACACACACACACACACACACACACAATCGCTGCAGACTGAGCGGATTTACCGCAAGGAGGGAAGAGGAAGAGGAAGAGATAGATAACAGCAACACGTCCTCAACATGTCCCGGCACCCATTTTTTTCTGCGGTGGTCCTTCTTGTTGTGCTGTTGATATGCTTTGGCAATACGGCCGTGCACGCAGAGGAGGGAACTAAGCGAAAGGAAGCGCAAATACCAAATGTTGTCGACATTTTTGTGCCTAATCGAACGATTGTGGAAACACAAGGCCAAAATCAAATGAGGGATTCCTTTGCCTTCCCTTCCCTCGTTAGTGCTGGTGGAGTTTTGGTGGCGCTTGCCAGGGGTCACAGAAGCTTTAAATACTCCACGGAGGATCGTATTTCGGTGGATTATGCTGATGTTGTGGCGGGGTACATTGACTCTACGGAGAGCTGGTCGTCTTTTGTCGATGAGGTCAATGCAAACAAATGGAAATCACACAGTATTTTTCCCATGTCTGTTCAAGTTGAGCATAAGCCGCATGTGAGGTGCGTGTTAAAACCCACAACGGTTGCAAAGGGCAGCAAAGTGTTTCTACTTGTGGGAGGCCATTATTTGAAATTTGATCCTTCATCGAAGAGTTGGATTGTGCTTTTACAGGGTCTTGATTTGCTCGTGGGTGAGGCCACGCAAGATAAAGTCATCCAATGGGGCAAACCCACCTCGATTTTATCACAGATCGAACCATCTGCTGAACAACGTGGCCTGGACCGGTTTGCCAGTGGTGGTGGCTCAGGCGTTGTGATGGAGGATGGCACGCTTGCGTTTCCTGTGACGGCGAGGGATGCATTAGCCGACGTTGTGTCCATGATCATTTATTCGAAGGACGACGGCAAAAATTGGTTGCTTCCACAGGGGATACTCCCCGTGGGGTGCACTGAACCCCTCATCGTTGAGTGGGAGCGGGGGCAGCTTCTCATGGTTGCCCAATGCAAGTTTGGCCCCAATGTGTTCGAGTCGAGGGACATGGGGGAAACGTGGACGGAGGCTGGCTGGACACTTACGGGCGTGCAGCCCAGGTTTTCATCAGACTTCTTGCAACTGGATTGGAGTGTCACATCTTTCACCACTGCGACCATTGCTGGAAAGAAGGTCATGCTGTACACTCAGAAAGGGGTTCCCCCTGGGGAGAGGGCGACAAAAGCGCTCTACCTTTGGGTTGCTGACAACAACCGCACGTTTCACGTTGGGCCCATTTCCATGGACACTAAAGAGATGCTGCGGTCGACGTCTGCCAACACCCTGCTGCACTCTAACGATGCATTGCACCTTTTACAAGAGAGGGTCAGTACAACGACCACAAACCTGATTTTTTCTTCCCTAACGAAGGAGCTGAAGACGATTACGTCCGTCTTGGAGACTTGGGCAAAACTGGACTCCTTCCTCTCCAATTCGTCAGTGCCCACGGCCGGTCTGGTTGGATTCTTGTCGGATGCATCGGGTGAAGGAAGTTGGAACGACGCGTACCGTTGCGTGAATGCAACTGTGACGAATGCAAAGAAGGTCGAAGATGGCTTTGAGTTCACGGGGTCCGAATCATACGCCATGTGGCCCGTAAACATGTGGAAGTATCACTATGTGCACGGCTTTGTGAATCACGCGTT